CCCCGCGGTTGCAGTCCTGATCCTGCAGAGCCATCCGGAGCTTGGGGGGCCTGCGCGCCGACCGATCCCCCACCTGGCCTCCACCTGGTCGTGGAGCTTAGGAGAAGCGCGCCCCCCCCAGGCTCCCGACATTAAGTAAACGTGCTGGGGTGCACCGTTGTGTATTCATAATGTATTACTGTTTAACTCGTTTAGTTGTTTTACAGAATTTGCCTAATAACTTGGTTTTGTTTGGGAAAGGGTTACGGTTTTAGAAAGACTAAACACCTTCTAACCTAGTTTTGCTACCTGGAATTCTAAAAGATGAGATCCATGTTTATCAAAATGATTGAATTGAACTGAGATAACGATTCACAAAGTAATTGTTTCTTCTCAAAAAAAAAATTAATAAAGATCTTAACTGTTAGAGCATTTGAAACAATGCCTTTCATTCCATTTTCAGAAAGTGTATCTGTAATACAGATTCAATATGTATTTAAATTGTGTTGTTTCATGCTAGTTCAAAAATTATCAAATAAATAAAACTCACACTTCTGCTTGTAAGAATACCATTTTAAGTGGTGACATGATACTGGGTTTAGAGTGCAGCTCTCCTTGGGCACCCTAAAGTGTTCCTTTTATTCCAAAAGTCTGTGTGACCATGGAATATAGTTGATTTTTTTGTCTCTATCATAGTAAATGCAGCTACCTTCTCTGCGAAGAGGATTTTCTTTTTTTGTTTTTAACGTCTTTGTCCAAAAGCCTTTCCTTTGGGAATTGCTTCTTCCCATCAAGTGCGACTGGACAGACTTCCCAGGGTGTCGTCGGCGTGTGACCCCGCGGGTCCTCACAGTGCATCTCCTCTGGGAGTTGGGAAGGACCCTTGTCCTAACCAGTGTGGGTATCAGAGACCCCCTGGGTGTGCAGCACCTAAGGTCAAACTGAAACAAAGCCCAACCAGAAAAAACACAACGAGCAACAGACTGAAAACTTCCTGGTGGCATCAGAGACCCTACAGGCAGCCACTGAGAGTTGTCAAATAATTTAAAAATTTTTATAAAATCATAAAGAAATTGATATAGGGAAATGAAATTCCCGACCTGAAAGGTATCTGGGGTGAGTTCCTGTTCTCCAAAACCAAAGAATGAACTTTAGGAATAAACAGAAGTTAAGAGCAGAATATTTATTGGGGAAAAGAAAGCTTCTGTCTGAGAGAGGGACAGAACAGGGATATGAGCTGTCTCTTCCAGGATTTTTATAGAGCAATACCATGCATGCGGTAAGGCAGGGCTAAGGTGGAGAACATGGGAACTCGCTTAGGTGGGCTTGAGGTGAGACAAAACTATGGTCAACCAATAAGGAGACAAACACCACTGCTCAGGTAAAATGGATGAAATCCAGGACCAATTGGGGAAGCCAGTCATGTATCAAGAGGGCATGAATATAGAACAGGAGTTTATCTGGTAGTCAGCAGTTGGATTAGTGACTCTTTGTGGCTTCCTCAAGTTAAAGAGCAATCCCGGATGCTTATCTTTAGGGAGGTGAGCACTTGTTCCATCTTTGGTCTTTTGTCTGGCCCACAGTGGAAGCATCCGTCTCTCTCACAGTTGCAAGGTGTCCTGTCTTCCATGCTGTCTCCTCGAGGGCCTGGCCCTGTCTGACTACTAATATTCCTACCTACCTCAGCTGCCCGCAACAGTCACTCAAGATCCACGCTTTAAAAACTAGTAACATAACTAGTGAGCTCCAGGTTTTTGGTGATCTAAAGCACTTCTTGTATATGCCAAGAAGGTCACTGAATGAGAAGCCCTAACTTTTAATAAGATTAAAGTTCTCACTGACGTGATTATTGCCCAAGGTAGATTTAATGTCCAAACGTCCCCTCACCCAAACCAAAAATCAATAAAAGATGAGGTTAGAAAACAATAAAAAACAATAAAACATCTAAACCAACACATAACAGTAATGTTTTGTCTTACCAGTTACCCTAAAAAAAGTACTTTTGTAGCCCCCACTGTTTACTGACACAGGACATTTCTTTTCCAGAAAAAAAGTCAAAACCTTCAACAGATTTTTGAGGACTGTTGAAATTACTTTTCTGTACAGAAATTTTCTTGTGCTGAGTATTGTTCAAAAGTGGACCATTGGCCTAGGCTTAAAATTCTTTTGACAGATATTTTTGTCTGGAAAAGTAGGTAACCAGATATAACTGGGACCCAAATATCTACACACTAATCGCTGTGCTATGTTACCACTAGGAACAGTCACTCCCACAGGGGAAAGGGACAGCTCCTGAGAAGGCCAAGCGATCAGAGCCTTCCAAGCAGCACCCCAGCCCACTGCTGGGCACACAGCCTCTCTGGCCTTGGCAACAGCCCAGGGATTATTTGTGTTGCTTGTTTGACAGTTTAGTGCATGATCAGGCTGATGCTCAGAAACTCACACAGCTGGATTACACTCATGAACAGTGACCCGTAGCGCCTAACAATGATGCTCACCATTTCTTAAATAGTCTGTGCTGGGCCACTTACGTGCTGTGCTGACAGTGGTCAACACTGCTGAATATAAGCAGAATGTTGGTTTTATGAACAAGAAGTTTGGGCCCAAAAAGGCTAGTGATGACACAAACAAGGTCACAGAGGTGGCAATCAGAGGATTTAAAGGCTGGTCCCTAGGACCTCAATGCACACCTTGCATTCAAGACCAAACTTGCCTGGGAACCAGGTAAATCAACCATTTAATAAGACAACTCCTAGCCATGAGGGGCTATTTAAATTCAAATAAATTAAATGTTAGGGCATTTAAATTCATTAAATTTAACTTCATGGAATTAAACATTTTACTTTTAAATGTAAATTAATTAAAATTTTGTCAGTCTCATGCCATTTTTCACACCCACAGTGGTAACACCTTGCTTGATGGCTGAGACTAAAAAGAAAATTCTACCATTGTGCAAGGTTCTGTTAGAGAAGGACGCCTCTTGTGCTGGTCCATGTCCCACTTGTCTGTATCACCAGTGCAGGCAGTGTACCCCAGAAGGAAATTTCCCAGTTAGTTCTCTCAGACCATTTATGGTAATGTGGTGAAATCCTTCCCGGCGCATAGCGCATTTCCCTGTTGCCCTGACCAGAAGGCTACCCCTCTCTGAGCACGTGAGATAGGAGCAGGGCAGAGCCCAGGCCCCTGTCGAGTAAGGAGCACCTTCTGCGGTCGCTTCCGCCCCGCCCCTCCAGTCTGTCTCCTCTGCCTTCTCCCCATCTTGTTTATCTCTTTGCCCCCAGACTCCTGCTATGTGACTGTGCACTTTTCCTCTAGACTGCATTTCTGATTCCCCATCTCCGAATCCATCAGTTCCCTGGCGTCCACAAAAGACTTCCAGGCCTTCCATAGTCACCAGAATGCAGAGGCCCAGGTCCCTTACATGTAAAGTGTCATAATATTTGCATAGAACCGACCACATCCTGCCATCTACTTTAAATCATTTTAAAATTGCTAATACCTGATGCAATATCAATGCTATATAAATAGTTGTTATATCATTCAGGGAATGGTGAAGCAAGGAAAAACATGCACATGTTCACTGCTGATGCAGTCTTTTCTCTGAATATTTTTGATTTGTCCTTGATTGAATCCCGAGGTAGTCCCACTGACCTGGAGGGCTGACAGTACCACTGGCTCACCAGTGACTCAGGAATTATCTCCAATCTTCACTTCTATGCTTTGATCTTCAGAGCACTTCTTGTTTTGGGTTTCTTCCCTAGCTCTCTACTAGATTAATGCTACCTAAAGTGCTCTCTGTGGATCTCCGGTGGTTCGGAACATGTTTAGAAGTGAAGACTGGTGTTTAGAAATTTTTATAGCAATTTGACAATCCTGAGGCATTGTATGATATCATACAAGAGTAATGGACATCGCTGGATTATACATTAAAAACCAAACCCTAAGTTACTAGAAAGCACAAACACTGTGCCCACACCACCTGGTAGCTCCTGAGCCCCAAGTACAATAACTAAAACAAGTATCCTGCCCAAGCGCACCTCTCAGGGTCTAGTCAGAAATAAG